CTCTTTCCCATGCTCCCTCTTGCTCTTTCCCACTTTCTCCCCTCTCTCCTTTTCTCCCCTTCTTTCTCTCCCCTCCCCCTCACTTTCCCCACTACCCACCCTATCTCACAAGCCTCTTACCTGCAGCTCTGTATTTCTTCACCTGTGGCTTCTCCCTGGGAAAGGCTGCCCAGCAGACTTAACCCTGCAGTGAGAGCTCAGAGGATAGGCAGGGATTTATTTCCTCCTTTAGGGCACAGGATTTCCTAATGGGCTGGTCATACCCTCCCTCCCACTGGGCCGTGGCAGACACACCTTTTTTCTCCACCCTGGGGAGCACCCCATCTGGGTAGTGATGACCCAGATGGGGAAGTGACTGAGGAAACTCTGCGTAAGTTTCCCTATTATTTTGTGACTCGCTAAAATTACGTACTTCCAGCTGAGAGGTGGTTGGTCCCTTAAAGAAAAGAAGAGGTCTATAATCTTCAGCCAGAGGGAGACTTGGCTTTCCTACTCAGGAAGGCTTTCAGAGTCTAAGAAAAAATTAAACTTTTGTTTTGTTTGATCTTATATGATTTTAATTGGTAAGTGAAGGAAGGAATCGATTTTCTGACTCTTTATTCAGTGTGTAGAATTTGCCTGGCTGAATAATTTGTAGTCTGAAAGTAGAAATTTGGCACCAAGACAGGTCCATACGAAACATGGATCACCTACATCCCCTAACAGGCCGGTGCAGTTGCTAGTTTTTTTCTCTGGCCCTTGCCTCTGAGAAGCAAGAGTGGACAAAGCAGGAGAAAATATTTGCAAACTATACTTCAGATGAGGGATTGATAACCAGAATATATAGGGAAGTCAAGTCACTCACCTACAAAGAAATAACTCAATTTAAAAATGGGCAAATGAGCTGAACAGACAACTTTTAAAGGAAGATATACAAATGGCCAAAAAGCGTGTGAAAAAAAAATGTTCAACATCTTTTATCATAAGAGAACTGCAAACCACATAAAACCACAGTAATTTATCACTTAACTCTAGTCAGAAAGGATATGTTAAAAAACAAACAAAAAACACTAAGCATAACAAGTGCTGATGTAGCTGTGATGAAAAGGGAACTCTCCTCCACTGCTCCTGGGGATGTAAACTAGTACAGCCACTGTGGAAGACAATCTGGATGTCCCTCCAAATTGTACAGATAGAACAACCATATGACCCAGTAATCCCACTCCTTGATGTTTACTCAAAGGATAGGAAAGCACTCAGTCAGAAAGACACTTGCATATTCTTGTTTATTGTAACATCATTCATAATTGCTAAGACATGGAGTCAGCCTAAGTGCCCCAAAATTGATGATTGGATTGGAAAAATGTAGCATATACACCATGTACACTGTGGAATACTATTCAGTCGTAAAGAACAGAGAAACTCTATCATTCCATATGAAATAGATGAAAACAGATTTGATGCTAAGTGAAATAAGCCAGATTATGAGAGGCAAACATTGGATATCCCCAATCAATATATACTAATTGTCTATACTCTGTGGCAGAAATTGAAAAAGTCAAAGATAAAGTAATGGGAAGAAAATTCTATATACCAGAAACTGCATGGGAGGGGAGTAGATAATGGAGGGGAGGATAAAAGGGAAGGGCTCAGCAAAAAAGCATTTGACAGACACAAGAATGTAAGGTCCTTTGTTGAAAATTACATACATGGTAATATCCTTGATTTAACAATCACACACGGTGGCATGCATGTGCACATGCTTTGAAAAGTCATATTGTATACCATAAATATGTACAACAATTATGTAAATAAGAAATTATAAAATAGAGAGAGAGAAAGACTAGAGTCTGACCTGCAGCCACTGCGGGAGTCTGCTCAGAGCATACTCAGAGAGGTCTCGTGACACCAATGTCAAACCTCCCCATGTGGGTTACCCTTGCAGAGTGTTGCAATTTACCACTGCACCACCATCTGGCTCCCTTTTCTCCATAATGTCAATGTGGCAGAATCAAAGAGTGATCTGTAAATTTTAGGACAAGCCAAATAAATCTCAAGCATGGGAATTCACCCACGCAGGAAAATCTCACCAAATACTATTATCACTCCAATAATCGAGCTCTGTTCTTCACATTCTCTCTGTGATCAACCAAACCCATTGCTCCTAGCTGGCCTGTGCTGGCTGGGATCCTCCTCACTAGATAATATGGACAGCTTGCAGCCTAATGTAGTCCAGAGAGGAAGCAAATGCATGCAATCCGGCTTCAGTCGAGCTGACATGGAACTGCTGATCTTGTGATTTATAAGGGGAATTTATATAAGCTCACTTCTTTCTTTGAGAAAACTCAGTCACAAGATCACAAGAATTGTTTAAACATTCCTTTCAAGAATACTCAGACAGTAAAATGTGACACTCCATAAGAATGACCCATGTGGAACATTCTAGGCTCGTGTCTAAGACCTCCCTGAGTAGACTAGGCACACTGCATCCCTGGGGGTGAATCACAGCATCAGGACCCTGTTGGGGATGCTGACACCATGCTCTCTTATTCATGGAAGATAAAAGCAAGCTTTAAAACAGAGAAGAATGAATGCTCTTACCTAACAGTCACCCAAGAACGGGCCCCAAGTCTGCAGCAGGATTCACGAACATGGCTGCCTCTCTATCCCCCTGCCCCCTATTCATGACCTACACTGCCCCATTCTCATCATCATGCACAATCGACTTGACTTCTCTACCAGCCGATGTGAACTGGACAAGTCCTGTGTGTTCTGCAGTATCTCGAAATCCTCTGAGGTCTGAGGTGAAAGTCACACAGGATGTTTGTTCCAAGGACTGAAGCAATGATTCATTTTTTAGATCCTGGCAGCTCAGAGGTTAACCGGCTCCTCCGGAAACTCTGTGGCAAGATTCCAACTCCTTCTCCTTCTTTGTGATGTGCAGACGTAAGGATGAGGGAAGGAGAGGAGAGAGCCTGGGGAGAGGAGGGGGGCATGCGTTGGCTGTAATGTCATGTATAGCAAGCATGTCATGTATGACAACAGAGACTGGTTATCTCCAGTTGTGTGGGACACCCTCGATTCCAAATACTCTGCCATGTTATCCCAACAAATTCGTTCATTCTTATCATATTGGAATTCCATTGTTTTTATTTAATAAAATATGGTCTTCAAAACCATAGGATAAATTTAGCAATTAGACCCCATAATTTGAAAATTCTAAGGCCTGGTCAACTGGCCTGGTCAAATTCTAACTCTGTTCAACTGGACAATAAAAAAAGAAAAGAGAAAGAATGAGAGAGAGAGGGGGAAAGAAAGGAAAGAAAAGAAAGAAAGAAAGAAAGAAAGAAAGAAAGAAAGAAAGAAAGAAAGAAAGAAAGAAAGAAAGA